GACACGGCTCAGGCGGGCAGGCCGCACTGAGGTGGACTCGGCGGTCTATGGCCGAGAGATGCAACTCAGGTGGGCAGGCCGCCCTGAGATAGACTCAGTCAGTCTATGGCCGAGGGGGTGCGGCTCAGGCGGGAAGGCCGCACTGAGGTGGGCTCGGCGGTCTGTGGCCGAGCCGTGTAGATTCAGAAGATTTTAAGCCGGGGCTAACCGCGAGCCGAGAGGGGGTCAGGTAGATACTGAACCTTGCCTCGAAAGAGGCTGAGGCAGGGCCTAGATTTCTTTCCATGAGGACTACATCGGGTAGCCACCGCGGGTGCTTGACCTCTCTTATGGAGCCCGCGATCGGGTGTCGTCGTTTCTCCTCACGGCCGCAGGCCTCCGCGACGATGTACCGGTTAGCGCGCTGGAGGCTCTCTGGCACCGTGGTGGGAGGTTGCTCCGTAAGGGACCAGAAGAGTCTGGAAGGTCGCATGCCTATCATAAACGCTTGCACTAACAGAGACGGGTGAGTGTCCGGCAGGCCCCGGATTTGCGTGGCAAAACGATCCACAAAATGAGAGAGGGGCTCGTCCTCCCTTTGCTTGGGTCCGAGGAGCAGTGCCGTGGAAGGCTTCGGCCGTGCATAAGCCACGAAGTGGAGCTCGAAGTCCTTGATGAGCTGGTTGAAGGAAGCAATCGTTCCGGTCTTTAAGCCGCCATACCACGAGCGGGCCGGCCCTCTCAGAGTGGTAGGGAATGCTCTGCACATCAAGGCATCAGAGGTTCCGTATAGCGCCATTTGGACGCGAAAAGCAGCTACATGGTCCGTCGGGTCGGTGGAGCCATCGTAAGCGTCTAGAGAGGGGAGCTGGAAGTCCGGGGGGACTGTCTGATCCCGTATCTCGGGCGTGAAGGGAGACCCTTGGTGTGCGTCCTCCCCGAGCTCTCCCTTGGACCTGCGAACCTCTTTTTGCACCTCGTCGAGTCGCTGGCTAACGAAGCGCAACTAGGCCCGCAGGGTGTCCGAAGAGAGTGCCTCGGGTTCCGAGCGGCCACTCGGGTTTGCCATCACTGGATCCCCGAGTGGGGCCGGTCAGACCTGAGGCGAAGTGGGGAACGCCGGAAGTGTCGTGTGGGCCTGAACGGGCGCCTTGCGTTGTCGCAGTTGTTGGACTGCAGGGCGGGTGTGCCGGATGAGGAAAAAGCAGGATGATGGTTTGCACCATATCCATCAAAGCTCGGACTTGACGGGCGAGGTCCTGAAAGGCCTCGGGTGACACGGGCGTCGAGTCGGCGAGGGCGCCGTCGGGCGGCGACAAACCCGGGTCGTTGAATATTTGCCAGTATCGTTCGGAGGTCGTGGCGGGGTGTTCATCACGATGGCCTCTGTGCGGGGGATGTTCCCCTAAGGCTTCGGTCGGGTGCGACCTCTCAGTCGTGGGCTCGTTTGGGCCGCTCGGGTGATAACCCGACATTCCAGGCCCTTCCTCTCACGCCAAAATATCGGTGTAAACAACCTGGGGCTGACGCGGCTCGGTTCGGGTCCGAACGACGGGGATCTCTCCGGGGCATTCCTCGAGCCCACGGGGTCGGTCTGGTGTGATGGTCCGATCGGGACGGGGTCGCCGTTTCCTCTGGGGAGGAACTCCTCATCCGCGCGTCCGGCGGGGACCCTCGGCTTCGCACCTGCACAAAGGTCGGGTCGGGGTGCTCGACCCGACCCCTCCGACGATCAAGTTAGTTGATAATGGAGGGGGTTTCAGAAGAAGAAGTGTTTTGTGTCTCTCCCCCTCCTCTGATGAACGAGAGGATATTTATAGGGAAGCTTACTGCTTCCTGAGCTGCCCGCTTGCAGGGGACAGATTGGTAGCGTCTGACGCTTGGGTTGCCGTGGCGTGAAGAACGAAGCTTGAGCAGGGTGTTTAATGTGCCTTAATCGATATTCCGATATGCATTGACCAGGTGCTGTCGCGTCGATCGAGGCGTGAGACATCGATTGACGTCAGAGTCTTATCGTAATTACTATCCTGGTTATCTCAACAATTAAAGGCCTAACAAATTAAAATTGATTTGAAATGAATTCGAAATTGAACGGGAAAATTTACCTTTTCTTACACCGCTAGCCTTAAATGCCAAACGCAAGCAAACTCGACATGTTCGACTCCTCTGCCTCTCGTCGCCAATTCGGCCTCCAACCCGCGCTTGCCTCGGCGAAGGCGGTGGCGACGAGGCTCGAGCCTGCCTCCGGTGGGGGGCGATGGCCTCGCTGGCTTCATCCCCAGCTCGGTCGTCGGTCGGCTGCTCGACAACGAGGACAGATTCGCTCGGCTTTATTAGGTGATAGATCCTTCCCGTGCCGCCAGATTAGGCCGTTCTTTTGAGTATGAGGGACTTGGGATTCTAGTGACTGTGGTGGAAACGTTAAAACGTGATAGAGGGTTTGTTGTTTTCTTCAGCATGTCGATCAGCGAAACCTGGCCGTGGGTATCAAGTTTGATGTAAAGGGTGTCTTAGGTTTTAGTATGGTACAAGTAATCTCCATCGAAGAGGTGAGAATCGCCTTGTTCTTGTTTGCATCTTATTTTGTGAATCATCGGTTCCAAATCAGGCTTCTTTATTTCTGTTTAGGATACATAATCTATAGTTGAAGGCACATCCTTCGTAAAAGCACATCTAAATTCAGGTTTCTACTTAAATTTCTTCGCACAAGTAGGAAAACTTGGCATTTGTCTTTTCTGAAACAAAGCGGAAGATTGGATGTCTTTCAATTGTCATTCGTGATATAGTATAATAAGTATGAGATTTGTACTATTTAGGCCTGATCGTCAATGTAGTATATAGAGATCCATTTAGGCCTGCTCTTGAATGTAGTAATGCAGTATATAGAGATCCATTTTATGCGGTTGGTCAAGATATGGTTGGTGTGGAGCTCATCGAAGCAATGCGATATATTGGAATCCATTTTGTGCATTAGGTCAAGATGTGGTTGGCTATAGTACAAACAGGCTTTCGTCAGCTTGGAATTCCATGGTATGGCTTACTGGTATTGGCAGCTATGACCGCGGAAGGCCATTTTTTTCTTATTGCAAGTGTAGCTTTAATCTAACACTATCATTTGCCTCAAAAATGTAATCGTCATACTGAAAGGGACCCCATGAGTGTAAGAAGAAAAAACTTATGCTTTCATCTTTGTCTCCAAGTCTCCCTCTTGTTGGTTGCTAGTAACTTATATTAAAAGCGATGTTTTCATCTTTCCTTTTCCTGGATTTACCTTGTGTATGCTTCTCTCCATGTGATTTCCATATCTGTATCTAAGTTCTGTACACTAGACCAGAAGAATTCACGTCCTGTTTGCATGTCTAATGTGAGTATCGAACTGGTGAATGACACCAGTATTATGTGGCTTATCATGTTCCAACTCTGGTAGGGTCCTACTAGAGATTGTACAGTAGGTCTCAAGTTGAGCGATGAACCAGTATTAGTTTTTGCCCTGATGTCATATTGTCACAAATCACATGGGCCTTGTTTTTGAAAAGAAGTGATATTCAGCTGCACTTTTGAGGTTGTTGATGATCACGATACCAAATTACATTATAGCTTTATCTGATATAGGACTGTTGGTGGTATTAAGAGCTATTTTATATTTAGTTATTGCAGATCGCTTGTGGTTGTTGTGTTCATATATATACTTGCCTTTTCTATTTGATTTTTGCATGTACCAAGTGGCATACTACTGGCGGTTTTATTAAGTGCAAATTGGCAGAGTGCTAGATTGGCACAGAGTTGATGTCTAAATATAACCCATGAAATGCCATGTCAAAGAGCATGTACTGTACTGTCACAGACAAAGATGTAAACACGGTGTTTGATATAATGTTCGTGTATGTCTTATCTTCCAGTTTTGTTCGTGCTTTGCACAGTATATAGAGGGCTTGCAGTAGGCTTAACAATCTTATTTTGATTTGGTTTTGTGGTTGTTTCAGTCTTGTAAATGTAGGTTGTATGCAGTTATTGTGCAGAGGCAAAACAGTCCAAAAATAGACTATCCAGACAGCCATTTTGGGGTTTTTCTAGCTTCGTTGAGTGGTGCGGAGTGTCAACCAGCACAACACCCAGGAGCTACATAGGTGGCACATGACTGGATGAGCCTTTGGGATAGTGTCTAGAGGTGGTTCGCTATCTTGTTCCACAGCAGTATCATATAAGCATTTATGGAGACTTTTGGTCATGACGGATCATCTTGGACCCTTTGTTACGTGATCGTTCAAAATTTGTGAAGTCTATGTTTGTAATTTGCATTGTCTATCAAATGTTTGTTGAAATGACTGCTTGTGGGATCCTAAGTTAAACGCTTCTTCTAACCCATCTTTTCTTTTGCAAGTCCTTAAGAGACTATAAAAGATTTTGGGGAGATTGATCCTTTGCGGATGAACACACAAGAGTGGTGTTTAACTTTGGCAAAACCAACTAAGTCCGTGACAGTACTGACATCTAACCATAGCCATGAAACTGAAAATAGTATATTGTTTACAGCAGCCGGTTTGATTTTTTTCCTTTAACTTGTTGTTGCTCAAAGAAATTGATTTGCTTGAATTGTCATGTTCTCCAAGTTCAGACTTTCTTTATTTATTAAGTTGAGATATAGATTAGATCTTTGAAAAAACCTCCTGGTTTGTACAGTAGTGTTTTTCGGTGATTGGTGTTGAAAAAAATCTTTTGTCAAAGAAAAAAAGAAAATGCTATGTTGTCCTTAGACTTTTATTTTAAATAAGGACATGAAGCTTCTGTGTTTATCTTTCTCCATCAGAAAAAAAAAAAAAAAAAGATAGTATTTGGCCATTGCTGACTACTGGAAGTCACTTCTGCCTCTAATTAATCATGAAGTTTTTTTTTTGGTTTATTTTCTATCTAGAGCAGGGAAGAGGGCATGAACCTGAATTTGAAGGAGAAACGGTCATAAGAATGGCCAGTAATAAAACGGATCATTGTGTTTGGAGTCTTTGTTGCTATCCACTACAACAGGCAGGACTGCAGTTCCCCGTTAAACATGTAGTAGTGTATTTTTGTAATGTATGCAAGGAACATACAAGCCTTCTTCAACTTACGCTGGCTGTTTGATGTTGCAAAGTTGATGCAGCATAGTTGCTACCCCCCAGTCATACAAGATGCATCTCCTTGAAACTAGTTGTATGGTTAAATAAGTTTAGCATTGGCTTGTGACCAAGTTCTGTAAGAGGACCTATAGAGTGCTGTTTATAGTGCTTTTGTGGTCTTGTTATCATGATAAATTATTTTGAGCAATGTGCTTGTACCTTGAGGGCAATAATTATATTTGGCAAGAATTATATGTTTATTTTTCATCTCCTTTCACTGCAGTTGATGATTTGAATTACGTGGGCTCAGGCTCAGATGGTTTCACATATATTTCTACTATGTTTGTGTTGACAGATCTTATCTTTTTCGGTTTAAGAGGCTTCGGAAAATGTTAAGGGCAGAAATGAATAATGTGGCTCCAATGTACAGGTTTTACTTATCCTTTTCATTTCAGCCTTTCAGAAAATACAAACAGCAGAAATAGAGGCTTGTAACTATGAAAGATCATGATCATGCGAATGGAAGTAGTATAATATCTGAAGGAGCATTCGAGGCGAATTTTCTAGTGAGATTACTTATGGGGTCGGCTTTTGCTTCTAGGTAACAGAATTCTGATGCTTCTGTTTCAGAGCAATAGGTAGAATTGTGCATGTCATGCTTTGTGGATGAGAATGAACAGTTGTTTTGCACCAGAAATGGTAAAATTCTAAAAGGTCCTGATCCTGATTGCAAGGTGGAGCATTGATATTGCATTGAAGTCGATTTCTTTCTTGGGACTTGATTCAGTATGCCATTTTGTTTCTCCATGATGTTGCAACTGTTTTGTAGAATCAGCTTTAATGCAGATTGGAGCCACTGGACACTATTTCTTCTGCTTGTAAAGCCTTTAAGGTATCACCAATCTATACAGAAAGTCCAACTCTTGTTTTCTTTCGGCATGGTCCCCTGTTTCCTTGAGTTTCAACCTCATTGTAATAACACACTTACTTTCCTTTGTTGCAAGGGGTAAAGGAGAAAGGATGATCCTCTTCATGGAAACCAACACTAGTTTTCTTTCTGCATGGCCCCCATTTTTCATGCTTGCCTCTCAGTTTTCCCTTGTAGCTATGGGAGTGAGAAATATAAGGCCTGGAAACTTGAGCAGGTACTTCCTTTATACTCTTTCTTCTAACATGAGACTAATTGCAGGATGGGGGGACCACTCCACTGTCCTGACATAGCATCCATGAGAGGAGTGATTTATTGAATGGCTGCATCAGCCTTGGATGACTTTCAATTCCCCAAGTGGGGTTAGTTCCCTCCACAATTCAATAGGAGGAACAAGCACCTACTCTGAATCCACCACAATATTTAATTGTCCAACCACAGCATTGTTGAGTTTTTAAATCCTTTCAGGTTGCAGTTGGGTTCCCCACCTAGGTCCCTCCATTTCTTTTGGCACTTGGATGACTGCAATGTTATTCTCAAATTTTATAGTAATTTCTTTCTACCTCTGTCCTTGTTTTTCTTTCTCTTTAAATGGGAAAACATCTAAACTGTGAGACAACTTTTCTGGTAACATGATGTTTGCATGTTTTTTTAATAAACTCATCATCTTGAATTACCTACCCTTGAAAGAAAAATTATCATTTGTTTTTGGGATCATAAAGTAGAAACAATTCTGCATTGATAAACTTTTTTAAGAAAAACTGATAGTGCAAAAAAAAAAAAGGTCTAGAAATTTAGCAAAAAGAAGCCAAGAGAACTAATCATTTTTCTTCTGTTCATTTAATACAAGTTGTAAAGGCTTGCCATATTGATCTTTTGAGGGCCAAATAATGTATTCTTAGTATAATTCTTGGATGCCAAGTGGCCCTCTAATCTATTGATTTGTGCTAACCACACCTTCAAATCACTTATAGCTGATAATGTTAAAAATTCAAACCTTTTTAACAGTCAGATGTTCTCATTCAACTTATTATATCAGACAATTGTGAGGCTTTAGAGAGACCTTAAACAACAGGCTTTTGACTTAATGCTTCTCTTTGCCTGTCCCTTGGCAGAGAAAGTTGCAAGGAGCTTATTTAACTGGTTTC